AGACTTTTTTTTAATTCGCTTAGTGGGGGGTGGAGTCCAGCTGGGTCCACTCGGCACGGCGGCCACTGATTGGCCTATTGTAGCCTGCCCCGGGTGATTATGATGAAGGAGAATTTGGTGGAATGAAGATTGGCAAGGGAAACCGAAGTACTCGGAGAAAATATGCCCCAACGCCACTTTGTCCACCACAAATCCCACTTGACCAGACCCGGGATCGAACCTGGGCCACCGCGGTGGGAAGCGAGCGACTAACCGCTTGAGCTATGGCGCGGCCCAACAAGAAACTTAGTTAATCTTCGCCTGTTTTCGGAAGACCACTGTTGATTGTTCATTGTTTCCATAGCCTAAGAGTCCTGGGGCATACACTGTCTCTTCTTTTTTAATATCTAGAAATCTATAAGACTTAATAGGAAATGCATACCTGTTGGACATGGGATGTGTACTTTAATGTATAAGGGGTGGGTTTTCTTTGCCCTTGCACCCCCGACCACTGCGATCTATTGTGGCTTGGGATGTGTACTTCATTTGTGTGAGTTTTGTTTGAAACATTATCCACCTTGACACACAGTTGTATGCAAATTTTAGTAGTTTCCAATATCAAATGTTCGTTAAAATAGACCATACTGTTGCAATATCTGGCAGATTAGTTCAGCACTCTTGTTGGGGTTTTGTAACAACTGTAGGCTTGCATTAGAAGTCATCATCATCAATAATCTGTCAAGACGACAGGTCCACAGTCTCTTCCAAAACAGTTCCTCCATTTAATGCGATCTAGAGCTTTCGCCTTCAAATGACAGTATCCTCTTCTGTCCCCAAGGTCATCCAGCATCTTCTTACGTCTTCTTCCTCGTCTTCTTGTCACTTCTATCCGCCCCTCTATCTTTCCTTCGATAACTTCTTTTAGAAGGCAGTTTCTACGTAAAACATGACCAATCCAATTAGCCTTCCGTTTTCTTATTTCGTGTAGGATATTCCTCTGCTCACTGACTCTAATTAACACTTCTTCATTTCTCACATAATCGGTCCAACTGATCTTCTCCATTCTTCTCCAACACCACATTTCGAAACTTTCCAGATGTTTCTGATCTACTGCCCTAAGTGTCCATGTTTCAGCCCCATACAGAGCTATGCTCCAAATGTAGCATTTCACTAGTTTCTTCCTCAAATTTAAGTCCAATTTGCTGGTAAAAAGATTCTTCTTCTTGCTAAATGCAGCTTTTGCCATGGCAATCCTGGATTTAATTTCACAAGTACACCTTCCATCATCTGTTAACAAGCTACCCAAATATTTAAAACATTTCACATTCTCCAGTTGTTTTTGGTCTATCCTTATCGTGACTGGGGTTGGTTGTCTCGAAATTTTCATTAATTTTGTTTTTTCCACATTCATTTCCATGCCATAGCACCTTCCAATTTCAATTAGTCTGTCAATCATGCCCTGTAGCACAGTTTCTTCCTTAGCCATTAACACAAGGTCATCTGCATATTTCACAGTTTGAATAATTTGCATTAGAAGTGCCGCATCACAAACAGCCCTAACTTTAATTGAGGACACATCGCAGACGAGAGATCTGAAGCCCTTAAGTGGGTGAAGTTGACATCCAGAGGTAGGTTAGAATTCCGCTTCATGTCCCATCACCCGACACACAATTACATTCTGTCATTGCTAAAGCTTAGGCCTAGCTGTACACGTATTCTTCTTAAAACTTTTGCAGCGAATAAACATTAATAAGCGATTTTCGAGACAGGCAGCAAAAATGAAGTAGTTATTTGCGTAGTGTGAGGACAGCGCTTGACAAGAGGGAGGAACCATTCGATCAATAAGGGGTTGGGGGGAACTTACAAAATTTTCTCCGTGCAAAATCAACTTTCGAGACTATGGACCGTAATACCATGATGCAGTAGTTTTTCCTGAGTGCAGCCATGTCCAACATATGTTGCCTAAATGCGATATGCAACCCCCACACTGTGGGTTAAGGAATGTGGGCAAGCAGATAACACTATGGTAAGTGTTAATACTGGCCAGAACAGTCCGTAAGGTATGCAGCTGCTGGACGTTGGTGGTCCTGGTCGTGAAGAAGGAATGGTGGTGACTAGTGACAAGATCTGCCGGTCACAGTAGCGGCGCGGTCTAAGGCATGAACTCTCTTCGCTCGCTCGAACGCTGGGTTCGTGGGTTCGAATCCCACTCAAGGCGTTTATTCTGTGTTTATGTTGTTCTGTGTGTAGGTAGCGGCCCTGCAACGGCCTGATCCCCCGTCCAAGGGCTCCTATCGAGTGTGTAGGATTAAGAAACAGGAAAAGCGGCCAAGGTCCAACAGAGTACTGTAGAGCCATGGAGGGAGAGAGAGAGAGAAAGAGAACGAAATCTCTGACTACAAACTGAATGCGGACAGTTTCCCCCACGTTACCTACATACCAGTGGCAGGGGCTGATTCCACTTTTGCTACCATCCACCTTTGGGATACAGTCAGACTGTAGTGACACATTTCGAGAATAATTTTATTCTGAGTGTGACGCTAACCGACCGACTCTGTGGTCTAGTGGTCAGAGTTCCTACGTACGGATCCAGAGGTCCCGGGTTAGATTCCTGTCATTACCAGATTTTCTGAGAAGTAGTGGGTCTGGAACGGGGTCCACTCAGCCTCGTGAGGATAATTAAGGATATATTTGAAGGAAATAGCGACTCCGGTCTAGAAAACTGAGATTAACGGCCGTGGGAATCCGTTGCGTTGACCACATGACACCCTCTATCCGCAAAAGTTGGCACTAACTTTGCCGACAAGTGGCAGTCGCTCGGTCGGTATAGTTCGCTTGCGGACTACAGGCCATGGAGTTTGATTTGTTTGTGTGACGCTGGCCATCTCCATAGTACAGTGGATGTCAGAGGACGTAGCTTCCCTCCACAAACCCAATGCACTTCCACCGAGCGCTCTTTATTACGGGCACAACTATAACTCTTACTGTACTCTTTACTTTATACATAGTGCCGGGATACCTCAGTCGGTACAGGTGGGGTTACGGGCTTCACATTCTGGGCTCGATTCCCTGCAGGTGCATGAGATTTGTCTCTTCTCCACAGCGTCCAGAGTGGCTGTAGGGCCCACCTAGCCTTTTGTACAGTGAGCACCGGAACCCTTTCCTTGAGATTAAAGCAGCTGGGGCGTGGTGCTGACCACTTGCCTCCATCTAATGTCGAAACCAATAATTCTGGAGCTATACCTCCACTTTCTTATACGTCTTCATGGCGTTGGTACTTAATTAATTAAGCACTGGGACGACTTTAGCTTTTTTACATTCATACATAGGCCTAATGCACAGCGTTAGGAACTACGCTGATTCCCAATAGCGTTTCGAACGTTCAGTCAATGAATTTTCGCCCCAGCCTTTAAAGAAATCGCCTCTCCCCGTTCTTCATGCGTAATACATTTTCAGCCACCAACTTGTAAGAAGCAGACACCGAGCAACTCGCTTCTCTTTGTCTTTCCAATTATGTGTTATTTCTTCTTCATACTCTGCGTTTGTTTTAATTATTCCTTTGCCCCCCTCCTCCATTCGTGTAAGTCCGTGGCAAACTGATCATTATAAGACCTCTGCTGTATAAAGTAGCGCGAGTAGACTATGTAACAGCGCTCCTAGGCGCAGTCATTGAAGCCTGTAGCCGTGTCGCGACGTAGCGATGCGTACAGCAGTGCGCGTGTGAACATCTGCCACCTGTTACTACGACACAGCCCTTCTTTGTGCTGTGTGCGTACTGTTTGCACTTTTATATACTCGGCGCAAGTTATCTTAAGGTTCCAAAAGTTCCCTTCTTCTCTTATCGTGCTCCACCAGTTTCGGACACCATCTGACTAGTGTAGGCACTAGCTGGCAGATCCCGTATGAACAATATGGCGGAGAAAACGTCCACGTCTTGTAAGTGCACTGCGAACTTGTGAGGTGGAAGCATCAGTAGCGCCATTCAACTTAGAGCTTGTTTGAGACTATTTGTGTAAGCGATGATTTGATACGTGAGATGTACGCTAAGTGATAATGCCTTTAATATCAGTGTTACTGAAATCTGAAAGTTCCAGTTCCTGCAAGTCCTAAAATGTACGACGCCAACTGCTAGAGTTTTTAATTAAGCGCAGCCTGTTTATTTTTAAACTTTATAGACTGCATCCTGTTATGTATATAATATTTGATTTTTATTTGTATTATAACCTTCAACACAGCACAGCGAGTGGTATGGAAATGTCTTCAGTGGAGACAGTGGATGTTAATGTACATTTTACTTATTTGTTACAAATGTAGCTATGCTCCATGTTTCGACAATTTGGTCATCATCAGGCCTTAAATGAACATATCTCAAGCAATTAAACGCATTGGCTACAACACGGATCAGTATATGTTGGCAGATTGCTGTGCTGTAGCAAATATACCTTGGGAATATATTCACAATATTTAAAAAGGTAAAAAAATGATAAAAATTGAATACAAAGTTAAATGATATATAATATAAATGGCATAAAAACATAACCGTAAAAATTGATATTTACAATTTCAAGCTAGAAGTTGTGTTGGGTCGCGTGCAAACTTCAGCAGACATGTGTTGGCATGCTGAAGGGGGTTGTTGCATTATGTCCCTCCATCTTGTCGTGTAGTTTATAAGTACAGTTTTGTGGGATGCGGTCTGCTGCTTATTTCTTGCATTTCTCTTGGATATCCAAGTTGTGTGTTTTAGAGCGGATCTGAGCGTAGCCAAACACCCAGTTTCTCGTAGATTGGGGCCCTTGTGAACCATAGTTTCATTAACAGCACGTTAAATCTGAAAATACGGACCCCTACACCCGCGTATGTTATTAGCTGTAATAAATCTTTTGTTATCTAAGGTATTGGAACTAAACATGAAATATTCTTGAGTGGTGACATCAAGTGCCAGTAGTTTTCCTATTAACACAATATTCTGTAGACCTGTATGTTTCTTGTTTCTCAAGGTTTTCTTCTTATTTTTTTTTCAGTGATAAGGACGAGGAGGAGGAAGGAGAGAACAGAACAGAAAATGAAATCGAAAAGAATAAGCAGGTAGGTTGTTCGACAAGCTGTGCTTCTTGTGTTTGATGCATGAAATAAGCCAGAGATGTTCCTGTGTTTCTCTTTTGATTCTTCATAATACGACTCAAAATAGTTTTATCTAAAATTTAAAACGTCTCCTTAAAAATAAATTTAAGACAAAATCGCTTTCAGTCTTGTTAAGAAAAACGAGATGGGGCGTAGTTGACTGAGGAACTATGCTAGAAGCCGGAAGGTCGCGGGTTCGATTCCCGATGAGGTCATTCGATTTTTCAGTTGACCTAATCCTTCCAACCGCACTATGGCCCAGTGGTCGACTCAGCCTCTAATAGAAATGAGTACCAAGAATCTTTCTAGGAGGTAAAGGGCGGCCGACGCGTGAGGCTCACAATCTCACCGCCATCTGTAAGCCGATTGTCTAAGAGAAAATGTGAGAGCCTCGACTTCTCACAATCCTATGGGCCTCCACGGCCTGTTATACTAGCTTTACCTTAAAAAGAAATGTTTATTTAAAATAGCAATGCGATTGTTTTGATTCAACAGTGTCTATTAAAACGGAAACAGCGGCATTTGAATGTATGCGGTTGGTGGATTTAAGCATGTAAATTTCTAGTGCCCAGTGGATGAAAACGACAGAAGAACAGCTGAACTTACATACACGTAGGCCTATATGACTGTACGTTTTGAGGTTTCACAGCGTTGATTGTTTAGAGTGTGCTCTTATGGGTTGTCACACTAGTTCTATAGGAAGATACAGATATGATGATGAATATGCTGCATCCATCTTCAGGGTAAAAGTGTGTAGAATGAGGAATCGGTTCAGTTATATAGGCGGACGAGTCAGATCCGCGAGTGGGTTAAATTTCGAATCAATTTCTAACTTTGCACACTTCAAACTCTGTAGATGGAGAGATAATTTTCTCCGAAACGTCGGTATAGAAGAGCGCACGGTATAATAACATAGAAGACCACAGTCTGTAAGTACGACGATGAAGACGCCCAGAACACAAGACGTATCGGCATGTACGATAGAGGCCCAAAGTAAAGGAAAGTTTGGCCACACTCAGAAGATGGCAAATCTATACAGTAAGATGGTGCTCTCCCCTCATTTGCACCTTTTTGGCTTCCACTGTTTTTGAGCTGCTATAAAATCGTGGTTCTTTCATCGATTGAATATATCCCCCTCCCCCAGAGAGCACATCAACCTCCCTTTACCCCCTAGGAAAATTCCTGGTACTCACTTCTATTAGAGGCTGATTCGATCCCAGGGACATAGTGCGGCTGCAAGGATTAGGTAAATTGGAAAAAAAAAATCCACCTCTTCGGGATTCGAACCCGCGACCTTCCTGCTTGTAGCATAGTGCCTAAACCAACTTCGCTACCGTGTATCCCCTCAGTATGGTGGTAGGAGAGTTAACGGACGGTCGGTGTATCAGTTCGAATTTGAGTGTGGACTTTTAATTACCTCAAATTGTTTCTGTTTGATTATAATCAATTTGTCCCTTTCGGGCTAATGAACTTAATGAGACACAGCAATTTGTATGGGCGAGCCAATCAGATTTTCCACTTACGTGAGGCTTAGGTCAAGTATTACATTTAGTTGTAAGACACGGGGCTTCCTGGATAAATTTGAAGTAGGAAGTCGCGGCACACGGGAGGCATTCTTTTCGAAATTATAAACTTTACAAATTTATGAATTTAACAACCGGAGGTGTCAGCCGGCAGTTGAGGTCTGCTACACCGAAATTGGAGAAGTGAGATTGTTATGTCTCGAACCAGCGAGTTAAGAGTCTGAAAGGGGACGGCCGTGTCATAGCTAAGGATACTCGCTGGCTTCCCACCGCGGCAGCCAGGGTTCGAGCCCGGGGTCTAGTCATGTAGGATTTGTGGTGAACAAAGTGGCGCAGAGGCAGGTTTTCTCTGAATACTTCGGTTTCCCTGCCAATCTTCATTCCACCTAATTCTGCATCATCATAATCACCCGGGACAGGCTACAATAGGCCCATCAGTGGTCGCCGTGCCGAGTGGACCCAGTTGGACTCAATCCCCCACTAAGCGAATTAAAAAATTAACTTCGCCGACAAGCGGCGGTCGCTCGGTCGATATAGTTCGCTTGCGAACTGAAACCACGGAGGTTTATTTTGTTCATTTTGTGAGTGGAGCAGCGTGAGGAAGCAACTCCTGGTTACTGTGTGTTACAAGAATCACGTGTCTGCCTTACCTGAGCTGAGCCGCACCAAACTCCACCTATGGAGTGGGACCAATCCAAATCTCTGTAAGACGCCCCATACCCTGGAATCCCATTAGCGCCCAATCGTACTTTAGCAGTTACAGTACATAGCCCGAAACCATTCCATAACTCCAGCCCGTCGTTAGCCCAATACCGGCCTGATAAAGTTCTGAAGTAAGCTACTCCTGAAGCCTGCGTTAAGGACGGTTACAGGGGAGAGATTCGAAGGAATGTTGATGATGATCATCATCATCATCATTCTGGGGCATTATCTACAGTAACATGTTGAGGTGTCGATCCCTGTATCCGATTGGCACTGAAGAAATTGCACCCTTTGAACTCAGCGTCAGTCGTGCAGAGAAGGGAGCCCGACATAGCGTTACAAAGCGAGATGTGGTTAACTGCTGCGTGATTCCCGTATATTCTTGCTTACTTGCGCACAGATGGAGTAGCATAAAGACCCTTCGGTGAAACAGTGTCCAGAAGTAGGTAAAAGTAAAGTTGTCCCTGTACGTAACTAAGTAAGCACTACGCCATGAAGGCGTATAGGGGAGTAGATGTATAGACCCAGGTTTTCTTCACCTCGGCACTAGTTGGAGGTTAGTGGTCAGCTTCAAGGCCCGGACCGCTTTACCATCAGGGAAGGAGCCCCCGGTACCTGTTGGATAGGAGGTTGGTTGAACACAGAGCCGATCTGGACATGGAGAAGTGAAAATTCTTGATCCAACTAGCATTCGAACTCCGACCCCTCGGTCGTCAGCCAGTAGCTAGGCGCTATACCAACTACGCTATCCCGGCTCACTCCGGAAGTGGGTAGTCTGTTGGTCAAGCTAGAGGTAAAATAGGATTGTGAGACGTGGGCAAGAGGTAGCAGACCAAAGTAGAATAGTGGTAGTTGCAGAACTGAGAACTTCTAGCCTAAGATCCTAGATCAGTGAAGTGCAACCCGCGACCCGCAAGTGAATTCCGGTCAAGAAACACTAAAAGTATTTATCCCCCGAATTGATTGAAAGTTATATCTACACGATATTCAAACTGAAAACCATTCATTTTAAATTATAAAATTATTGTACATATTTCAGCAGACATTTTGTTGCCAGATGTTTCTGTTACTCAGCTCAGGTTGGCCTGTAGAACCGTTTTAAACACTTTCGTCAATAGCCCTTCGTGATCTGCGGTCTTTCATCTGTTAGAATTGTGTTCTGCTTTGCTAGCGTGACGTGCTACAAACATTATTCTGTAGACATGTTGGCTTTGAGAATTCATTCGTTCTCGAAATGTGATGATGTTGATTTAAGAGCAGGTTTACATCTCTGACTGATGTTTGACAGACCAGGTGAAACAAGGTCCCGATGCTGTACCCCTTTGCAGCCCAAAGAAATATGTCAACTTTTTCTTGGCTTCTGACTTTGACATCCGCGCTTTCTTGGAGCCAAGCAAGCCTGAAGATTTCCACTGCATGATCTGCCGCTCTGTCCCGAAGTCAAGTTGAAGAACCCACATTTTCGGTCCAGTGATGACTGTGCTCAGCCATTCATCATTATCTTTACTTCGTTGCAGAAGATCAGTCCATTCTTCCCCCCTCCGTTACAGCTGGTCGCTGGCGAGCTTTTTGGACACCATTTTCCCCGCAGATCTTCGTCCACCTATTTTCCGTCAAAATCAATCGTACATTCTCTCTGCTGATGTTCAGTTCTTCTGCCATTGTCAGTAGGGAGTCTGTCACGCACACCAGAACGCTCACCTTTTCTCAGAGATTATCCTTGTCAAGAACACATGGCTTTGAGTGGCCAAAACGGTTTTCCGAAAAAAGGGACCAAGTTAAGTTTGACAGAGGTAGCCTATTCTCCGTGCGCTTTCTTTGACTTTTCAAAGATTTCGATGTGATTCTTTTTTGATTCTGTATTCCGTGTATTTATCACCCCTTTTCCGTGGCGAGCTATGCAAACGCTGCTTCAGTTGCACCACAACAGCTCTGTATTCGCTTGACTTGTAGCCACTAGGGTAGAAAAGGAGGTGGAATTTTGTCCCGTGCATGTGCGTGGTCTATCACAATTTTTATTCATTATTTTCTTGTTATCTCCCTCCGAACTAACCCGGTCTCAAGTGATTAAGTAGCTGTGTAAATCTGACAGGGTTTGTCTGGTGATTGAGACTCTCTCTTTCAAAGGGGCCCAAGTGAGTAGGTGTCTTCCTTTCTCAACTGAGGACGGAAACAGATCTGGTTTGCGAAACCTCGTATTTTCTATTTTCTAGAACACCGAACGGTGGAAAAAAAATTAAAAAAAAACAGTAATTTTGTGTATACTATTAAGACATAATAAATGTATATAATTAGAATGATCAAGTCAAGGAGAATGAGGTGGGCAGGGCATTTAGCACGAATAGGGGAGAAGAGGAATGCGTATAGGATATTGGTGGGAAAGTCAGAAGGAAAGAGACCACTGGGAAGACGTAGACATAGGTGGGTGGACAATATTAAAATGTATCTTAGAGAGATAGGATGGGATGGAATGGATTCGATTGGTCTGGCTCAGGATAGGGACCAGTGGAGGGTTCTTGTGAACACGGTAATGAACCTTCGGGTTCCATAAAATCCTGGGAAATTCTTGAGTAGCTGCAGAATTGGCGGCTCCTCAAGAAGAGCTCAGTTCCATGAGTAAGTAAGTACCTCGGCCGCGCCATAACTCAAGCGGTTAGTCGCTGGCTTCCCATCGCGGCGGCCCGGGTTCGATCCCTGGGTCTCTTCAAGTGGGATTTGTGGTGGACAAAGTGGCGCTGG